GTATGTGCCTTAATCATTTTCTAAAAGAAAACACTTTTTTTTTTTTTTTTTTAATGGAGATGTTTTTAGTTGAAAACCATCCACAAATAATATATTAGAGAGGTTTCTTGTCCATCAGCAGGTTGGTATGCGTTGTTGTCATGGCCTTGCCCCTGACTTTGTATATTTCTCTGTTTAAGTAGCACTTCACACCAGTTATATTGCCATATTGGAATTTGTCTTGTTGTCGTCAGTGATGCTTTTGATTACAGTTCCCTTGCCCAACAATTTCACTTCATATCTGTTCTTTCAGATGTAAAAAATTCAGTTTTCAAGGTTAAATTTAGTCATTTTCACTCTGATTTTTACAGTAATGAAAACATTGAAAAGCAGATGCGCCAGTTTTACTCACGATTTTCGTACGTTAACTATTTTGAACATTGAAGGAGAAAAACTTATCTTAAAATGGTACACACTTTCTGAATTCCAGAAACATTTTTACTTCCAAGTTTCCAATTTTAAGGGAGCTACAAGACATTTACGGGATAGGCAGCTAGTAGCTTTGCTTAACCGGTTTAGCTAGCTAGCTAGCTAGTAGGATTTAACTGTCAAATTAGCTAGCCTAGCTGTTCACAAAGTAACTAACGTAATTTAACTGTATATTCCTCATGGTAATAAACTAGTTTAAGATAAAATTACAATTTAAAATCTTCAAAATGGCTGCCAACCGGTAGCATGTGCACAAGCGTTTAGCATCAAAATGGTAGAAAATGGCGAATTCTGCGTTGTTGCTTTGAGTCTTGAAAGTAATTTTACTGGAAAAAGTTTGTGCTTTTGGGATGTGAGTTTTTCCAAAACAATTCTGGTTAAATTGAGATTTCTGGAAAGATCTGCTCACGAGGCACAAATACGTCCGCGCTCGCTTGTGAAAAATCTGCGTCTTTTTTCCATTATAGCAATCGAGTTTGGGAAAACGTTGAGAAGCCCCTGTTTTTTTTCTCCAACTTGTGTCTGGATGTTGATGTGTTTTTAAACATAATTCTTGATGTGTTAGATTTTTTTTTCGGAAAGTAGCACAGGTCCTTTTTTTCAGAGAAGCATGAAGGGAGCTGTAATCAAAGGTATTAACGAAAGTTTGTACCAAAGACACTATAAACTTGTCATTGTATATTTTTGGTCTTTTTATATATCATAAGGGACACAGTTTAAGTACTTGTCGAGGGGGAAATGTAAAATGAAAGATGTAAGAATTTTACTTTTTTTTTTTTTTTGTAGCGGGACTTAGAGTTTTATGAATAAATATTTAAGTTTGATGAGAAACTCTGTTCATCAGCTTCTTTCTTTACTCAATGTCATGACGGTGACGGTATCATCATTTTAAAAGAAGTTAAAAAAGAACAGATGAATTTAATTTTGTAAATGTTGTTAATTTGATCACAATATGTTGTATATATCCTTTATTCACCAAATTCAGCTTTTATATAATAAACAAAAAAAAAAGTCTTTCAGTTCACATTTTCTACAGAATTCACAAGAAACCATTCGTATTATCCTCAATACAGGAATAACAAATACATTACCCAACTACATCACCCAGGATAAGTTTCCCAACCCTATGAAGCTGTCCACTGAGAGGACACGTCAATATGTTCTTTTAATTAAAGTCTTTTAAAGTTATTTAAACAGTGTGTCAAGTGGATTTAATACATTTCCACTACAGGGCGAGTTGGAAATGAAAGTAAATTACAAGTAAATTATTTTGTAGCTTGTGCCGTTGGTTGATTGTCACCTTTCTGAGTTTCACTCTGACCATCGTTTCTTCTTCGCCACATCCTACCTATTTTTAATTTTATTGTTAGCGATGTTATTCATACCAGATTGATCCTACAGCGAGAGCTACAGAGAAACCAACCGATCCATCCATCCATCATTCATTTACGCAAGAGGCTGGCTAAGCGAGGTAGTCAGATGTTCCTCTCCTCTGTAACCTTTTCCCGAGGCATTCCCTCGGCCAGGTAGATATATAATCTCTCCAGTACGTTCTGGTCTACCCTCAGGTATAACCCCGGATCAGACGTCTGAAACGCAAAGACTGTACCACTTTCACCATGAGGGAGAAGAAGCTCTGCTCGAGCGCTAAAGCCAAAGCTCGTGACCGTGGTGATGGGTTGGAAACCAGGTCCCTGGTTAACAACCTGATTTTCCTACAACAACAGCTTTAAAACCCCCATGCCGCCATGCTTCTTGGTGTCAGTAAAAATTAAAGTAACCGGTGCAGCAAAACACCCTCTATTGCTACAGTGAGGCTAGTTCGGCTTGTTTGACCTTGTTTGGCTAGAAGTGCTACTTAGACATGATTGTTCCGGTTCATTAATACTCAAAATTTGATTACATTTGAACCCCATAATGTGGCTATTGGGTGTTAATTTCCAGAGGCTGAGGTTTTAACCAAAACAAGGCAAAAAACAGTACATTTCATCTGCCAGTAAACCTCCAACAACGACGCACCTCTCTTACATTACAAACCCAACACATTTATCACCATCGTCTTGTTTAGTCGACTCCCTTGTGGTCGCTCCAGTTTTGAATGTGATCACATCATGAACCTTTGCACCGTTTCCATGTTGTAAAACGTTTTCATCCCCGTCTACAGTGTGACTTCTGTGATCTTTGCAGCAGCTTACTCTCCGTCGCTTGTCTTCTCTTTTGTTCTCCCTAGCTCGTCTCCTTTAAGTCCTTTGTCGCTTTCTCTTTCGCTGCTCCGCGTCCTCCTCCTCCTCCTCCTCCTCTTCTTCCTCCTCCTCATCCAGTTGGAGGCTCCCGGAGGAAAAACCTCATCCTGGCCAGTCCAGCGGACCGCGCCACCTGTCCCGCAAGTTGGGGTGGCGGGCAGTAGTCATGGGTAGAAAACCTCCGGGTCCGAGTCGCTGTAGGCTCCCAGAGGTTCCTCCGAACATGCAGAGCGAGGTGGCGGCGTTCGGCAGAGGGAGGAGTTTGCGGGAGGTAAGGTGGGTCTAGGGGCGTGTCATGGTGGGGGTATAACCAAGGGGACGAAAACTCGGAGGCGGGTTTGAAGGCGGGGTTTGAACTCCTTGAGAGGTGGAACTTGACATCTGGTTGGCTCTGCTACGCGGCGAGCAGCCCCGGGAGGAAGTTGGAGTCGTCGCTGTAATGCCCCGCCTCGGTTATGTCCGACGCCCCAAGAGCCTCGCTCCGTTGCTTCCTGGCTGGTAAACCCTGGCCAATCCCAGCCCTCCTGAGCCAGAGGGGCGGAGGGTCCTCCTGATTGGCGAAAGAGACGGCGGAGTCGTGGCCAGCGGGTAGGAAAGATGGCCGCGCTATGCTATCCATTGTCACATAATCCCGCCTCCTTGCGTGCGGGAAACGCTCCAGGGAAGAAACGGCAACATAGTCCGTCAAGTAGGGGTGTCGGTTGAGCGGCGAGGAACCAGCAATGGAACGTTGGCAGGATGGGGGTGGTACTGGTAGGCAGGACTGTTTTGGGTAAAAGAAGAACCAACTGCTGTGCGGCGTCCGGGTGCGGCTGGGGATTGGGTCGACGTCGCGGTTGCCGTAAACCCCGGCTAAACCTTTGGGCCTGGCGCTGCGCCCCGATGCTGCGCCCCTCATGTCCTCCATCACGGATCGAGGCCGATCTCATCTTCGGAGAGGCGGTTGATTGGTGGAGAGAAGGAGAGAGGGAGTGACATTGAGTAAAAGGGCGGACCCCCGGGCAACCTCGACAGACGATCGGCTTCGTTTAGCCCCGCCTCCTCCGAGTTCCATGTCGTCTATGCCTCCGTGATGTGGGTCCAACTCGTCCTCACTGCGGACCGCCAAAGCACGGCTCGACCGAGGGAAGGATGCGAGTGCTCGTACAGCTGAGGAGGTAAGACACGAGCATTAGACAATTTCCTCAATTAATTCAATTAACTGTATCAAGATGACATCATCAAATGTCTTGTTTTGAATCCAAGAAATATACATATATATCTGCACGTGTGGTGAATCTGTGGAATGGAAGCTTTTATTACTTGTTTGGAGACGTCGTGAGGAGATCAGGAGACGATCGACACTGTCTGGATCGAAGTCCGACTGACAATAAGTCCTAGAAGAAGACACACACACACACACACACACACACATATAAATATTACATATATAGATGATAAAAATCTATCTTCTGTCTTTCGTCTGATTGTATTGATGGATTTCCTTCCACCTCTCAAAATGTGAGGGCTTCTTTCCCCCTATCCCATACACTCCAGCAGCTGTTTCTGCGTCCACGTCCGCCAACTGACACTAAACGCTAAAACTCTTTATATACGTAGAGAGTGAGAAAGAAAATGAGGCAACCACGCCCAGTCGCGGTCACAAGAACAAAAACACAAAGTGCAACACACCTGTATCTGAAGCTGGAGCCTTTACAGGACAGCAGCGTTTTGTGCACCGCCTTCGGTTCCTCGGCCAGGCGGAAGAAGCGTCGGTACCCACGACATCTTCCAGAACGATTTACATACTCGCGACTGGCCATGGAAAGCTCCAGTGTGTCCTTACACGACGGCTGGATGGACATACACAACACTTCGGTTAAAACATTACACACAACACACGGTTGAAACACTGGTTATCTGCCCCCCGGTCAGCAGGTCCTCACCCCGACTTTGTCGTGTAGTTTGATGAGGAAATGTTTGCGTTGAAGCTCAGCTTGCGGATTCGCCCAGCCAAAGGTGTTGATTTTAGTTTTCCCTGGAAAACACAGAGGGGGGAAAACAAATGTGTGTTTTCAGTGCAAAACAAGAGGATAAAAATTCAACATACCAGCAGAGAAAATCCCTCAGACCTGTACAACAAATTCAGCTCTACTGCTGCAAATCTAAGAAAAAGCCTCAGCAATGCGAGCTGTGGATTGTCAAACATCCCAGGAGCGCCTCCTCCTGGCGGAGCAGTGGCGTGTTAGCGAGCGCTCTGAGCTAGTTATCATTGTGTGAGAGAAGGTTAAGACCCGTCAACGTCACTACCTGAAAGACCAGTACTCCCGAGTGCGTGACGGCCAGGTTGATCCTCATCCCCTCTCCGTCGTGGGCCGGGTGAGGCCTGATCCCGTACATGTCCAGCTTCCTCGCCACCTCCAGCAGGTGGATGTCCGAGTCTGCCGGAGACACGCCTCTACAGAGAGACAAATGCAGGCTATTACACATCCCTAATATGACGTTATATTCATGCCGCAAACATTTCCTAGAGGCAGCACGTCCCTGCATCGCGTTCAGGTCGGACCGCCCGCGCACTTCCTGCGTTTACCTGTGTTTCTTGTGGAACTTGATGATCTTGTGGTCGAGATATTCCTGGTTGGGGACGTACTGCTTCATCTCTAAATGGTGACAGTCCAGCTCCTCGTCGTAGTCCCCTAGCTCTGCTGTAACACACACACACACACACATGCTCATTCTTTTCTCTTTTCTCGTTTGATTAAAGTTAATTTCTATGATCAAATTATTTCTACTGACTTAGATTTAAATCCTAATGACAAACACGAACTTTGAAGCTGTTATTTTTATCCTTACACTGTAATATGTGAGAGACCAGCAGGGCGGCGCTGTTGTCATTACAGGTGAGACTGCCGTTAGACAAGTCCTGCTTTATCTGTAGGGCAAAAAGATACCTACACACACACACACACACACACACACACACACACACGTATATAAATAGATGTGCATCAGAGGAGGGTTTATATGATTGTAATAAAAACAACAGACGGATACAGACGCTGTTACCTGGTGAGGCCTCTCTTCAGCTGACCCGGGTCTGGTGGGAAGAACTTGACTATAAACCTGAAGAAAAGGTCGCTGCTGTCTGACGGAGAGGAAAGACGAGAAGCCCTTTTTTTTTTTAATAAGGTGTTCAGATAGTTATCAGTTAAAAAATAAACTGAGAAGAATAAATCATCTCCCTGTCCACGCGGTCATTAAACCCACCGGAGTCAGTTAATGAAGACGTGGGCTGCAACTTCAGGCCTGTATTTGTTTACATTTTGGCAAACGAGCGGCCATTAAAAGTGTGGTGAATTAGCTATTAGCAGTTTCCCGTTCACACTGAAGCCACTGATGGATTAGTCTGATGCTGAGGAAAACTTTAAGTTCTGGAGTTTTCTGAACGTTTATTTATAATGGACATCAGGGACGATGATATGAACGAGGAGTTTAAGTCGCAGTGAATCTAAATATGTGTGTATCGTGTGTGTGTTCAGATGTGACAGAGTCATGACTCAAAAGATGAAGGAGGATCCTGTTGTATTAATGTTTTTGTTGAGTTTCCTGAATACTTACATTTAATCTGTTTGGCCAGCGGCTTCAGCAGCTCCAACCAAACCTGCAACGTGTTCCACATAAAACAGATATATTTATATTTATATATATATTTATATATTTATATACTGAGTCGGTGTGTGAGAATATTAAAATATTCAGTGTGTTTCTCACGTAGTTGCCGCTGTGGTGTCTGAACTCCAGTCCGAAGTATTCCTTCTCCAGCAGCTTCAGATGACCACACACTTTGTTGAAGAAGTCGCCTCCTAAAACCTTTTGCTGAGAGAGAGAGAGAGAGAGAGAGAGAGAGAGAGAGAATTAAAGGGGGGGGTGAGATGGGATAATTGGATTTTTTTTAATTGAGAATCTCTTAAAACTGGAGCCCAGGGACACTCTGGGGACTCCGGTTAAATGTTCTCCAACTCAGTTACTTCGGTTCTCCAGAACTTTGCATAATGAATCGTCTCTTAGTGATGCTGCGTTCACTGTTATAGGAGACACGAGCTTCGGTGTTCATGGTGTTTAGTGGGTAACGTGCTGCCTTCGGCTCCAGCTCATTAAGATTATGATTTTCTTTTTAATGTGTTTTTTTCCCAAAGATAAATGGAGTATTATTTTATACAACACCTGCACGTTAACCACGAAATAAAACTTTATTAGTGAGTTAACAAGAACTTACAAGATTATCCAGTTCAGGATGATCTCCTCTGTCTAATCACTGAGGATGTGTGTGTGCATTGGGGGTTTTTTTTAGTGTTTGCTGTCTGCTAGCCGGTGTTTACCGCCCTGGTGGTGGCCACTGGGCGTCCCTCATTAACTTGTCATGAGGAAGAGAGAGAGGGTGAGAGGGTGAGAGGGTGAGGGAGGAAGGGGAGGGACAGAGCAGCTGTAACCCATTATAAAGAGAACAGAGGCCTAACCTGTGATTAGGGGAAACAAACGGCGGCACACTGAACAACAACAACAGCGCAGTTAGTTTCATCGGAGCGGAACAGGGTAAAATTGAGCGGAATGAAACTTTATTGTCCACGGTGCTCGATGACGACAGACCTCTCAAACCACACGGAGTCACGAAGAGAAGTCGGCTTCAACTTTTATCTGAAGTGTTTTCTGCAGAAATTCATTTTAAATAGATAAAAATCTGTTTATATGTAAGAGTAACCTGAGCCACGTGTATGTGTGGTGACCCTGATGTGCACGTGTCGTCAATACCTGCACACCTGGGAGACAGGACAGTGTTTATGATGGAATAAAACAGTTTGTTAAACTAAAAGATAAAATCGCAAAGTGAAAATACGACGGTTTTTGTGGGAAAATCTTAATTTATTACATTAAAGAATATAAATGATGCATTTTAAAGAACATAAAGCCACTAAATCTACTTCCTGTTGGAATATTATATTTAAAATAATAAAATAAATCAAACTAACTAAAGTTTATTTTAGGATTCACTACCTGTTGATGGTGTTTCCCACCTGAACGCTGCTGATATTTTTCATGCATGTAATTTTTTAATCTTTTAATTAAGTAGCAGCCTGCGTCATTGTTTAATGCAACCACTGGGCGGCGCCAAAGTCAGAAATTTACTACTTTTGTGCGTAGGAATACGGTCGTTCAGTGGTTGAGAAGATGTAGTTCCACAGGAAATGATAAATATTCAAAATAAAAGCGAACACTTTGACTGATGTGTTTTTCCTGTTTGTTCCTCTCCACAGCAGCTCCTCACCAAATCTACAGCAGGTAACACACTGACCATGTACAATCACCTGACGCGACCTCACGTCAGAAAAACCTGCACTGTCCCTTTAAGAGGTTTCACTTAAAACACAACTTCAGCTCACTGCGTCTGAAAAGTGTATTTCCATCAAATAAACAGGAGTATAGATTTTTACTTCTCATTCCTTCATGCACACGATGCGTCTGTCCACTCTCTTTACATCAGTCCGTCCATCTTTTCTTCTTCTCTGATCATTAATTGGGGTTTTGCCCCGGAGGTTTGAAGATCGGGGTCAGAGGAGAGAACACGCCGAGGCGACTGGAAACCTGTTTTTATATCACTTATTACCTCCTCTGTTCACCACACACACTGTATTTATCACAGTTTATTTTTGCTCTCATCCATCGATTCATTCATTCATCCTTTTTTTCTTTCTTTCTTTTATTCTTTCGTCCTTCATCTCTCTCTCTCTCTCTCTCTCTCTCTCTGTCTCTCTCTCTCTCTCTCTCTCTCCTCCTCTTCTAAAGATGCTGCTAATGTCCCAGAGGCCGCTGGGAAACCGACAGAGAAAGCATGGGCGTGGAAAATGGAGCTACTTTGCTAACACAATACTGCAAGTCACACACACACACACACACACACACACACACACACACACTGAGAAGTCTCTTTTTAGATTGCGTTACTGGCCGGTGGGCGACGTCACGTCACCGTGCTGAGGCCCGTCACTCTGCCGCTGCTGACCTGGATAGTGGAGCACATGACAAGTTCATAGACAGCAGAGTGTTTACGTTTCCCGGTTCCAGCTGTTTACACACACCTCGCGCAGCTGTTCGGCAGCTGGACCGTCTCCGCAAACTGTTTGGATTCTAGAAAGATGAAAAGTAAAAAATCCTAAAAATCCACACGAAGGTTTTAATTTCGTTTTCTTCCGCTGTTTGTGAATCTTTTCCCTTCTGTCGCAGTGTTGGGAAGAAAAGCAGGAGTGGACACAATAACATGAACGCCTGGTTCAACAGTCCTACAGCTGATATTATACAGGCTTTAATGTTAAGGTGGTTTATTTCACCCATAATACATTGTAATATTTTTTAAAATTATATTTATAGTTTATTTTGTGATCGATTATTAGAAAATCAGACATTTAGGATTTCTATCTGTTGAATGAAACAACCTCTGACTGAAAATGAAATGATGAACGTTTGATCGTTGATCTGATACAGAAGCTGCAGAGTCGGGAAGTTGTTCGGTGTGTTTGCTTCTTTTAAATGTGGATGAATTTATCTGTGGCTGCAGATAATGATCATTTCCATTGATTTATCAGAGAATTTATCAGTTTCCTGAAGCCAAAAGCGACTTTTTGAAAAACAAACGGTTCAAAACTCTGAGTCAAAGAAAAGCAGCAAATAGCAACATCTGGGAGGCTCATCTGGTTCAGTCTGATAGAAACAGTAATTAATAAATAATAATTTTCTCTGGTTTCGACTGATCGGTTCGGCTCTACGTGCATCAGGGCTGCAGTCGGTCCCAGCATGCATTGCAATCTTTCAGAAAATTATATTTAGGGGCTCCCTGACCTCAGGTTGCGTGTCACCTTAGTCTCTGTGAGGATGGATGGATGGATGGATGGATGGGGATGTTAGTGACATTAAGAAATCAGCCAACAAACATAACTCAGGTATTAAATCTAAAGCTTTCAGATGATTAGTTTCAGTGTCACAGTGTCACAGTGTAGGCCTTAAAAAATAAATAAATAAAAAGATTAGCTAGGTTTCAAGAATTACTGGCATTGAAAAATCAAGATAGCAGCTGTGGATGTGGGAGAAATCCAACCTTCAGTGATGAATGAGTCACAGGCTAATCCACCGTTTGGACTCACTTGTGTTTATAGCTGCGGGCTATATTTAACTGTGAGACTGAAACACTGAGGCTGAGCTGCTCCACATGACTCCGGATGTTCAGAGTCACAGTCTGAAGTTGTTGGACTGAAGGTTGTTGTGTCGTTGAAGCCGTTCAAGTCATTCCAGGTGAGTTTCTACTGTTATTGTGCATCTAGCACGTGGAGATGTGCTGCACACTCACACGCGATATTTAACACAAAGACTTATCAGTGAAAAGAGAAAAGAACTCAATCATAAATATATATTTCACTGCGCCACACGTGAGGACATGACGCACACGTGCAGCGAAATAAACGCAAAGAAAAAAACAACAAAAAAAACAAAACGGTTTTTAAAAACTAACTCATCCAGCTGTTGATGGACTCACCTCCACCTCGAACGTGCGCTCGCTGTCATCCAGAAAGATCACGCGCAGCCGGAGCTTCGTCTCCTTGGAGACCCGGGACTTGGTCGTGAGACTCCCGAGTCTCCGGGTCCGCTGGTCACGGTCCCCCATCTCTACCTCTCTCTCCCTCTCTCTCTCTCTCTCTCCCTCTCTACCTCCCTCTCTCTCTCTCCCTCTCTCTCTCAGGAGGAAGAAGAACAGCTGTAATCCTCCATCACATCCATCATCCACAGAGGAAATCCTCAAGAGGCAGCGGCACGCCAAGAGAACTGCTTCACGCGCTCTTCAGCACCATCAGCATCCTCTTCATCCTCCTCCTCCTCCTCCTCCGGGGATCTGGCTGCCGCTGGAGCGCGCGCTCTCCAGATGCGTAATGGCACGCTGACGTTGTTTCCAGACACTGAAACGGAACTGACCACTGAGACACTGACTATAAGAATACTACATAATGTAATAATACATGATAAAATAATATAATACTACAGTTACTATACTGAACTACTATAATACTACTGAACTATACCATGTACTATAATACTATATAATACTACAGTTACTATATTACACATACATGACATGTTTATGTCAGAAGGATGTAGATTTAAACTACAGACGTCAGATGTCTGTAGTTTCCTTTCCTCACACACGGTGTGTTTTCTATGAGCTGGCAGCACGGACAGGACTGTATACACTCAATATGTGGTGTGTGTGTGTGTGTGTGTGTGTGTGTGTGTGTGTGTGTGTGTGTGTGTGTGTGTGTGTGTGTGTGTGTGTGTGTCCTCCATGGGAATAATATGAATTTCACGGTGGCTGGATACTTTTAGAGAAGTGGCCTGTCCTAAAGTAGGCTAGTAGTGCAATGCCTCCACTAGCCTCCAGCACGGACTGAGCACTTAGTGTGTGTGTGTGTGTGTGTGTGTGTGTGTCTGGGATGACAAACATGTAAAATGTTGGTCACATTTTCTTTTCTTTGTCTCTTTCTGTGACACACACACACACACACACACACGACAATACCTCAGTAACATGATTTCAGAGTGTGTGTGTGTGTGTGTGTGTGTGTGTGTGTGTGTGTCCACCATCAATGCCATCATTTTTTCTCCAGAATTTTTCATCTTTATATGAATCCATTTCTATCAACAAGCTCATATTTTAATGTCAAATCATTTATTCTCATCTTAAATTAAATGAATTAATACTGTGATTGATTTTCAGTAGGATAACGTATATGTTTTATATGTGATATTATAAACCATGTGCACAGATTAATTCAATCTAATGAAACGTAATAACGTAATTTAAATGTAGTTTAATTCACTCGACTGACGCTGAAGTCTGACAGTAAAAATGAATAACGCTTATTTATCATTCAGCAGCAAATAAACATTCAACTCAGGATCTATAACACACGGCACTGTACTGGTGCACAGCTGTGAGGATGTTAGTTCATTATAAGAAGACACACTTCATACTGTTACACCTGTTACCGTTCAGCATCTGTCCAGCCTTTATTCCTGTGTGTCCACGGGAGGCGTTATGATTATTGATTAATACATGACACTTATACTAATATTTATCTGCACCTGATTGACTTTTGCTGATGCTTGTTACAAACTGAGGAGTTTATTCCCCTTCATTAATGTCTGACTGACGTCTATAACTGCAGACACTGACGGGTTTCCACAACCTGGCAACACAAATGTTATCCTTATTAATGTCTTGTAACTGAGCTGTGAAGCAGTAATTAACAGTTTATTAACCAGTAATTACAGTTTGTGAAGCCTTCGTGTTGCTGCTTCAGGAAGTGGCAGCAGATTAGTTTGTCAGTTTCAGACTCTGACCACTAGATGGAGGTAAAGACCTGAGGATGAGAAAAACAAAAAGCAGCTGGTAGAAGAAGCTCAGTGACTCACACACACACACACACACACTCACACACACACACACACTTGCCCAGTAAACATGAGTAGATGTTGTGATACTGTAATATGAACCTGCCTCTATCCGTCTCTACTCACCATCTGCCACACACACACACACACACACACACAGACAGACACACTTTCCATTTTTCCATCTCTTGTCTCCAGTCTCCCCTCCTCCTGTATCCCCTCACCCGTCTCACTTTCTCTCCCTCACACACACACACACACACACACACACACACACCTAACCTGCCTGACACAGTAGCATCTGGCGTCTTTATGCTGCTGCCTCCCTCCTGAGACACACACACACACACACACACACACTGACAGCTTTCTCTCTCATATAAATTTTCCACTGCAGCAGTGTGTCGTCCTCTAACGCTGCACGTTCACATTTTACCTGCAGCTCAACGAGACTGACGAGTAGCAGCAGCGTCACGCAGAGCTCAGCGTTTTACAATCCGCAGCTCTTACAAACAAACCCATAAAACTATTCGTATGTTGAAAACACTAAATGAATAAAAGCCAAAAACTTTTATTTGCGTCAGTCGAGCTTCATCTTTGTTAAGGTGGAATTTATGACTGAGCTGTTGCATCAGACATTTGTACATGTGCGGTTGTGTCTTGGCGAGGTGCTGCGGCCCCCGACGTGACCGTGTCATTCAGGGTCAGTGAAGCCAGTTGAGGAGTCAGTCGCTGCCCCTGAAGGAAAGATGGAGCGTGGGGTTGACGAGGTGGTTTAGGAATCTGATCGGGACACTTCCTGGACGCCTTCCTTTGGAAGTTCTCCAGGCACACCCACCTGACCGACTGAGTGATGAAGTTACACCATTGGTCGGCCGGACGAGTCTTGGAGCTGCTCTTCAAATTGAATCGACGGGACTTTTTTTTATTCAAAGACGCACCAAGCAACAAATTTTGGCAACTTTTTGGACGAACGTTTCCTTGTTTCGGGAGAGAGAGTCGTCTCTGTTTGCGAGAGGTCGGGCAAAATCAATAAAATATAAATTGCAAAAAGGATAAAGAAAGTATTTTTAATCGGCACATCAAAGTTTCTAAAAAAGAAATCCACATGATAAGAAATGCTGTAAATCTGCAGCAAATGTCCTAATTATATTTTACTGGAAATAACAGCTGCAGATTTTACACATGAAACTCAATGAAACAATGAAACAATGAAACGTGGTCGGACGACTAAACTTTAAGTCAGAGTGTGTGAACACCCGCCCGCTGATACACAAACACTAAACATCACCTCTGGATGTGAAATACTGTCGTACCCTCGGTCCGTTGTTGTGAACTTTGACCTGTGAATTTGGATAAAATCCTGATGTTAACATCTGTCGAGCCCCGAGGAAGAAAACCCAACATGTCCGAGTCTGTGATCCTGGGCATTTCTACAAAATCAGGCAAAGACGAGATGCAGTGTGACAAGAGAAGGGGACAGGATGTGGAAAAAGAAAGAAATCTGGTCACACACACACACACACACACACACACACACACACACACACACACACACACACACACACAGATGATGAAGGATATGCTGGAAAAAGCTGAACAGAAAAGAGCAGGACAGGTGCAAACCATTAACCACTGTATGGAAAGTCAAATAGCAGGACTGTGTGTGTGTGTGTGTGTGTGTGTGTGTGTGTGTGTGTGTGTGTGAGAGAGAGAGAGAGAGAGACAATGACAATCACAGAGACTACCAACCAACTCCAAACTCTTTGTGTATCCTGTCCTGAATCAACAAACTCCACCCTCCTGCTCCGCCCCGCGACTCGAACCAAACACCACGACCTCTCTCGGCTCCTGCTCGTCTCCTAACGTCTTCACGATCACCATCTTTTCTCCTCCGTCTTAAACATCCGGTCGAAAGCAGCAGCTGAAACCTGTGAATCTACTTGTAGCTGACAACATTTTATTTTTTACGTTTTCCACCAATTTATAAAAAGAGCGAAAGAACGTAACCTGCATCCTCGGCTCAGATTAGCCGTGGTGTTAGCCGCGTGCTAGCGGTACCGCTCCTCAGATGCTAACGTCTGCCCTGTCAGCTGATCCGTCACTTTCGGTCCTGCAGGAAACGTCTGAACAACAGTTGGATTGATTGTCATGACTTTACGATTTCCTATTTTTCGCTCGTTTTCGTGCAACGCGGCGAAGCAGACATCTTGTTTTCTCTCGCCGCTGGTCGAGCGATGTTTCCCGGAGGCTCGTCAAAGTCAAAATCGCAGCCATCAGCTTTTTCCTTTTTCCCTCATTTTGTTGGAAACACGATTACGTAGTTTTTCCTAATTCAAAAAGCAGCGAAAAAACAATGAACTTCTTTTTAAAAATGTTTATGTTGTGATTGCATCTTTTCTCTCTCGCAGTGATGGATGACCTTCACCGTCTGAGCCGTTTCCTGTGAATGAGCCCGGGCGTCGTTAAGGCCGAGCTGATTTGAAAACATATCTCTGATTGTGTCACATGCATGTAGCGGCGGTCAGACTGAACATTTAAGGCACGGAAAAGGTAAAAAAAAAAGGAAAAGAATCTATATATACATCAGGAGCGGCGCAGTGTTTCCTGCTGCTTAATGGGAGATAATGGAGGTCTGATTGTAATATGCAGCAGCTGATCTGATGTGGGAAAACTGAGAGAAAGCTGATGACAGAGATGCTATCTGCTGGGAAAAGCAGCCTGCTGCAAATTCTTTTTCTTTCTTTCTTTCTTTCTCTTTCTTTCTCCTCCTTTTCTCTTTCTTTCTGTTTCTCTCACTTCATCCTTCAGCTTTTTATCCTTCTCATCCTTTTTCTCCACTTGTCTCCTTCACCTCCTCATCGTTTCATCTTTCCTTCCCTAAGTTTTAGTTTTCCTTTCTCCTTTTCTTTTCCTTTATTTCACTTTCTGTTGCTGCCTCTTTCTCCTCCTCGTCTTCCCTCCTCTTGTACTTTCTTTTCTTTCTACCATATGTTTTGTCAACTCTATTCCTTTCATTCTTTATCTTTATTTTTCACTTCATTCTTCATCTTTTCCTCATTCGCTCTGTCTGTTTCCGTCTTCCTCTCCTTTCTTCATCCTCTTCCTCCCGTCCTTCCTTCCCTGTCCGTCTTCTCTTCTTTCCTCCCCATTCCCTTCATCCCTCGATCCCTGCAGTACTGAGGGATGCGGAGGAGCCTCGATGGTTAATTACCTGCT